ACTGCCCGGGCGTGCAGTCCTTGGGAGGGGCAGTGTTACGATTGGTATTTAAAAAGCTAAGTTAGTTCAATTATAAATTAAATGGTTTTATTTCCCGCGCAGTGCAGCGCGTGACGAATATTAAAAGAAGAAAGCTAACCGGAGAATTAAAAATACAAGAGCACGTGCATTTAAATTAAATATAAATATGTCTTTTTGATTTGGATAAAGTACCAGAAAATTCTAGCGCGTGTTTAAAATCTTATAAAAGGAGAAAACATCTCAGTTCGTATAGTTGCTTAGTTTGTTGTTGTTTAGAAAACTGCTCTTGTTGATTGTAGCGAATTCGCGATTAGCTTCTTTAGCTGTTTTGAATTACGTTCTATTGGATATTTGAGTAGCTAAAAGATAACTACTGTGAGATATTGTAATAATGCATGATAATTTGAGAAAATTTAAGCATTTTTCTTGTGATAAAAATAAATTTTTGTTCATTTTTCATCGGACTTGTGCATTCATTTCATAACGAACCCGTACGCACGCAACAATATATTACTGAATGGCAACACGTTAGCTTGTGTAATATAAAATTAGTTTATTTCATGTATTGTTTAACTCACTGATACAGTAATACTAGTTATTACTATATCTAATTATACTAGTATACTAATGCTCACTGAATTGCTCTAATTATAACTATCATGTTATTGCTAATTATTACTATACATTGTTATTCGAATAGTGTTGCCATTGCTAGCTTTCAAATCACTGAGTTTATTATTCGAAAATTCATTAAATTCATACAAAATATGAAATAAATAAAAAATAAATTCGAAATTCAAAATTTTGGCTAAGTGAACATGTTCGGGTGAAGGACTACCTTCGTTTGTTGAAAATTTAGTAGTTGTAGGTGTCGTCATTTTTTTGCACTGCGAGGAATGTAGAAACATACATACAAACAAATTCTCCTTTATTTAATCGTAAAGATAATTAAGATAATATTAAATAATTAGAGGTAAATATTTCTAAAACTGGATAGATTGGAGTGAATAAGATTATTTATTGAGTTAAGGCAAAACCACTCTTTATCTGCCTAATTCAAGTATGGATGAACTGAATGCACTGATATAATACTTTAATAATTAAAATATAAAATCTTTAAATGTCTAAAAGACAGGATGGATTTTTTTAAATATAATAATATATTATATAATACATATGTAATATTGTTTGAACTCCACTGTACAATTTTAACTACAGCACACATTAAATTCCAGAACATTGCGTGTTAAATTTAGGTATGTATTTGAAATATTTTAAGATTGAATCTTCTTTTTAGACCCACATAACTCTATGGGCTCTCTTTTTAGACTAGAGTAATTCACATTGAATTACACTTCCCATAATGTTTCATGAACAATTTTAAAATAAGAAATAGTTGTTTGAGACATCCCTTTTAACACTACTTCCTCATCTGTAAATAACCTCTTTGCATGAAGTTATTTTTTTTTAATTTCCAAAATGATCCGCAATCACTGCTGCTAAATCCAAGCTATATGAAGAGTATATTAATGCAGTCCTCATCGAATATCGCCAGCTTCAAAAATAATAATAATATACAAATACGCATTGATTGTCCCGAATAAAACCACTTTTTCTTAATAAATCCACTATTTCTTTCTGATGGCTCGACACAAATGGACTTTCATAAAGTCTGCATAGTAGTCTTCGATCACTACGCATCAACCATTGTTACAGGGAAGAATGACTAAGCGTTTCATCATCATACGTTGTCTGTCACAGTGTTTCATTGCCGTTTTCTTTTTTTTCCTAAATTTAACCTAAAATTCAGTTAACCTTTATTTTCCACACAGACTTCATCATCTCTCGCCACGAGAAAATGTTTTGAATGTTTCCACTCACTGTGACTATTTGAGTCTCCAGTTACAGGTTCAGTCCCATTGATATATGGTTTTCACAAAACATAGTACAGAATTGGCACATCAAATATCGAGAAAGAGCTACGTAGGCACTATTTAAACTTCATTCAGGCATTGTAATAGTAATCGTAGCAATTTCCAGAAACAGAACAATATTTAAGAAAAATTTAGTAAAGCTATAACCTAATAAAAATGGGAAAGTAAAAAAGTTAGGCTGGATTATTTGAATATGGCAGAGCACATGAGAGCTATCTATCTAAATGGATAGATACCCTCACGGAGGATTTTCTAGTGAAAACTGGCTCATTTTATATCTTTAAAAAGCCATGAAAACCAACTACGCATCCAGTGAACTCTGGTCGAACTCCCAGTACTCAAAGATCTTCACCATTCGGCCACTGGTGAAGCGCAAAATTAAAAAGAATGAGCTTGAACTAAATTTATCAAAAATGAAAACTGCAGCTATTAGATGTTAATAGAAATCAATTCTCTGAAGCTGAGGTTAGAATTTATTTTTCTCAGTACTTGGTAGTATTAATTATTGTATTAACTTAATTCACGAAACGATAACATGATTGGAGGCTTCTGTGTAGAATTAACACAAATAATTTATTCAGCAGTTTTAATTCAATGGGCAAAAAATTTATGGACAGAGCTTAAAAAATAGCTGTTAATGATTAAAATGATTTCCATATGATGTATATTGTCCGATATTAAAAGTTATTCAAAATGAAACATGTACTCATATTTTAGATAGTAAGCAGTGCAGTGAATAAAATATACAGTTTGATAGCATTGAATATAGTGTAAGAAATTTGTAGAAAAATGCTTCATATTTAGAAATTTAACTTTAGATAAGAAATCTTAAATTCAAAAAATGGGATTTTTTTATTTGGAACATATTTAATTATTTACCTAATTTAAGCATTTTTATCGCTTTATCAGATTTGAAAGGTTTGAAACGCAGAATACTGTAGAAAGTTTATTTTAATAAAACACAGTTCCATAATTTTTTTTCAAAATTTTTAGATATATTAGAATTATGATAAAAAAATAAACAAAGAAGTTAAACTTTCGATCTGTCACATGTTTCGGGTAAAAGTGTTGTACTCTTAAGTTTTACATTTAAATGATTCCAATTTCGTCTACTTACTTTTTGTTGTTCTCATTTATTTATATTTTTCATTTTTATTTATTCTTTTATTTTTTTGTTTCAGGATAGAAATGTTATTCCTTATGCGCAGTCAAGATGGCCCAATAAGGAAGTTCCTTACGTTATCGACAAATCTCTGAGTAAGAAAATTTATATTGATTTACTTTTTCTATCATTGATATGCTGAGTTTCATAAAAATTCTAGTAACTCATCTCATCCTATTTAGAAGAAAAAATACCAAATTTATTAATTTGATATAATATGAAAACTAGATGGAGTTGATTTAAGATTGCATTTACTTTTTTATATACATAATCTGAAGGTATTTGTAATTGGAAAGTGCAAACTAACTTTTACTAGCTTTATTACACATTAAATTGCAGTTTGTCATTTTTACGAAACTAATTATCTTAAACATTGACTCCGAAAAAAGACGGTCAGACGACTTATCGCACCATTTTAAGTTACTATTTATTGAATTAACACCGAACACAAAAAACGCTTAATATAAATATTTTTATTAGTCGCTTAGCTTAAAATTTACACAACCTGCGTATCAACAGAACAATTTCCACTACTTGTGTGATCAATAGGAACGTCGACAAGATCAATCTATCAATAGGATCAATAGGCTATTGTATTAAATTTAAATATTTAAATACGAGGCTTACAAGATATCTGTTTCTTACCTACTTTAGCTGAGGACCTCATTTTGTGAGAGCAAATACGGTTAAGAATGGCAAAATTCAATTCAAATTTGGGAGAAAATGATATCGAGACTGTCAGCGGTTGCCAGTAAAAGTTCTCTCTCTTAAGATTGCATTGAAGAGATTTAGGGAGAACAATTCTAGAATAATTTTTTGCTTTGTCACAAGATAAAGAATAACCAATTACAGCGGATCGTTTTGTGGTTACCCTGTGAAGGGAAAATTAATTCTCCATCATAAATGATGGTTCGTGATGGAAGATTCGATGCTGATATCTGATTGATCGTTGGAAAGGAACAACTTAAAAATTTGTTTGTGGAAGAAAAGAAAAAATCGTGTGTTTGTCTTTCATTGGTAAAGCAGGTAGAAACATTGTTTTAAAATGTTATGCTACATTTTTAAACAGTTTTTCGTCTGAAATAAATGAATGAGTGACACACGCCTTAAAAATTATCTTTTTATATACATTAAATAATTTGTATCTTGGTGGGATCAGACGAAAGGCGAAGGGACAATAAAAACAAAAAATTAAAAGATAAGGTTTTAATAAACATAAAAACCCACAACTTACTACGTACGTTGAACTCTCTTTGAAAGCTTATTTTCGTACTGAAAAATTTCAAGACAGGTAAAAGTTTTTCGGCAAATTTCGAGAATTTTTTTTTCCCACTCGGTTCAGTTTTCTCTTAACATCGGAAATTGAATGATGTAAAATTTAATTTCTTTTGGAAAACAAGAATAATTAGCCAGTATATAATGATTTGTTAAGCCAAACGACTCTGAAGAACTCTAAGCAAAACTTTTAGAAAAACTTAATAACAGAAAAAATATATACAAACCTTGCAACTAAAGGGAAAAAAGTAAGTTAAAAGAAATTAAAACTGAATATTTTTCCTTATAAATTAATTAACCTTTACCATAAATGTTAATCTATAAAAAATAAAAACAGAGTATTTGATTCGACTGTTTTATCTGCAAAATCAGCTTGAGGTCAGTTAATGCAAGATCTAACAGCAAAGGTGGTGGTGTGGTGTATTTAATTATGGCAAAGCACACGAGGGCTATCTGCCTAAGGGGAAGGATGCCTTCGTGGAGGACTTTCTAAGGGAAACTGGCTCGTATATGCGTTACACATGGGGAAAACCACGAAGGCGCCCATCCAGGCAGCCCGTTCGCGAGATTCGAACCTCGGACCGAACTACCAGTGTTCAGAGACTTTACCGCTCGGCCGCTGGTGGGCCCTATCAGCAAAGGATTTATTAGAATAATTTCAAGGCTAACGCTTTCACTTTTATATTTACAACAGCGTTTCCTAAACTGTGGATCGCGACCCCCAGGGGAGTCGCGGGACCTACAGCAGGGGGACGCCAAAAAATTTAGCAGCTTTGATATTTCTTTAACTTATTATAAAAATTTTACAATTACCAAATATTTTTACACAATGTATCTGAAAATAGATAAAGATAAGACAATACAGACAAAGAAAATGTTTCGACGCATTCTTTTTATAATAAAAACGTTCATTTTACTTGCTTTGCGCGTAACGCTGTCATTTCGTCTGTTAATTATTTAAAACTGTCACATTGTTCTAAATTATTATTGTCTTAAAATTAGTTCATTGTCTTAAAATTAGAAATTAAATTTAATGACCTAAAACTGCAATAGTATATTACAGTACAAGTGAAAAAATTGACAGTTTCACACACACGTGTGTAGGATTTGCGCAATGCTTATGGGGTCCCACAAAATTTTCGTAAATATTATGGGGTCCTGGAGGTGGCGAAAAAATCTCAGTGATTAAAAGGGGTCGCGACTGAAAAAAAATCAAGAAACCCTGCTTTACAAGAATCAAGGTACAGAGTTTTGAGAAATAAGAACTACATAAATTCGCAGAAGAACAAAAGCTGAATGCAGTCTCTGATAAATCTGAATGAAGTCTCTTTCTAAATTTAATTTTAACAATAACCGCAGGATTATTATCTGTTTGAATTTTTTAAATTAATAAACTGCTAACTAATCTCAAATATGGGAGAAATTATTCAAAAAAGTTTTTTAACATTATACAACAAAAAACAAAGAAAAAAAAGCAAAGTAAAGAAACAGAGGTATTATTTTAAACAAAAATATTTTCTACAATTTAATTTGTTTCCAAAAATGATACTTTTTCTGTGAGTGTAAATACATAATTATTATCTAAGTCAATAAATTAAATTTCAGTCCAATTAAAATGAATAAATAAGTATTGCACAATTTATTTATGTCTCAAAAGTGACAAAAATGAAATTGATAAAGCAATTGTGAGAAAGTAAAAATAATATCTGTAGAAAATGTATTTTTTTTTTTTTTTCAAAAATCTGTCCGCCTTTAAATTACTTCAAATATAGTTAAGAAAAGGGAGATTAAACATTCCTGCGATTATTATATTTTTCAGCCCAACATACCGACCTAATCAAAAGTGCGATGAAGAATTACCACGATTTCACATGTCTGAAATTTGTACCCAGAACAAACCAAAGGAATTATATCAAGCTTTTCTTTGGACAAGGGTACGTATAAATGTCAATATTAAAAAATATATTTAATATTAGATAATAGTTACAAACAAGCTATGCTACATTTTTACGTTTGAGAACATAATATAATGTTATGTATTTTGATGATGGTAACTTCAGAGTGGTGACGTATATGTGTTTCTGTTGGTCTCAAAAGTAAAAGATACAACTGCGTGAAATGTATGAATTAGTATTGTTACGAATTTGGTATTTAAAAAGCTAATATTAGTTCAATTATAAATTAATTGGTTTTATTTCTCGCGCAGTGCAGCGCGTGACGAATATTAAAAGAAAGCTAAGCCGGAAAAATTGAAAATACAAGAGCGCGTGCATTAAATAAATAAATATCTCTTTTTGATTTCGAGAAAGTACTGGAAAATTCTAGCGCGTGATTTTAAAATCTTATAAAAGGAGGAAAACATCTCAGTTTGTAGTAGTTGCTTAGTTTGTTGTTGTTTAGAAAACTACTGTTGTTGATTGTAGCGAATTCGCGGATTAGCATTCTTAGCTGTTTTGAATTACGTTTCTATTGGACATTTGAGTAGTTAAAAGAAAACTACTGTGAGATATTGTAATACTGCATGATAATTTGAGAAAATTTAAGCATTTTTTTTTGTTGTGATAATAATAAATTTTTGTTCATTTTTCATCGGACTTGTGCATTCATTTCATAACGAACCCGTACGCACGCAACAATTTTTGGTGTCAGGAGTGGGGTTTGAATGCCAATCACAAGAGCGATGGAAGAGCAATTAAGACAGCTGATATCAGCGTTTGCCTCGTTTAAAGTAGAAATGAAAGCAGAGATGAAATGTAATCAGGAAAAGATTGAAGCAGGACAGGAAAAGATTGAAGCAAGACAAAAGAATGAAAAGAGAAATTACCAGCGTAATAGAAAACAAATTCGAGGTTATGGAAGGCAGAATTGACGCAGTTGAGAATAAAGTTGGAAACTTGAAGAAAAAGTTTCTTCGGTAAAAGAAGAAATAGAAGAGAGAGTTTCTGCCGTGGAACAACAAATTAATGATAGAGTTTTCTGCGGTCACCAAAGAAGTTGATGATTTAAAGAAATTCGTAGCGACGGCAGGTAGCAATCCGGAAGGTTTGAAATTTTTATCGATGCCTGCTCGTTCCGTTTGAAACTATCTACATATGATGGGAAGACCTCCTGGCAGGTGTATAGGACACAATTTTCTATCGTTGCGGATGCGAATGGATGGGATTCCCAAGCTAAGGCCTGTCATCTCGCCGCTTCTCTGAGAGCAGACGCAGCGGATATCCTGCAGACGCTTCCCGAAAATCAAAGGCTAGATTTCGAAGCTCTATCCGGCGCTTTGGAGCTGCGCTTCGGCGGAATGTTTAAAAGACTACAGCAGGCCTCCAATTAAAATCTCGTCAACAGTAGCCTACCGAAACACTTCAGGAGCTCGCCGCGCATGTTGAAAGGTTGTCCCATCTCGCCTTTTCGGAATGCCCGACAGAAACGAGGGAAATCCTGTCCCTGCAATTTTTTTCATCGATGGCATCCGGGACCCTGAAATACAGAAAGCACTGCGAATGGCGGATGTTTAAAGATCTGAAAAGCGCTTTAGTGTATGCCATGAAATTTGAGGCAGCCCAGCAAGCAACTCTTAGGGATAGCTACCCAGTCAGAGCTGTGCGAGTCCACGACCCAGGGGACCAATTGATGGCTCGTTTAGATGATTATCCAGACAAGTCGATGCTTTGATACGGAGTAGCAGTGAGAACAAAGTGGCTGTAAGATGTTGGAGATGTGGTTCTGAAGGTCACCTACGACGGCATTGCAGAACACCCCAGGGACGGATAATAAACGGATGAGTTGACAAGACCAGTGAATGCTTTAAGACGGAATAGTGGTGAAACAAAACCGACCCTAAAGTGCTGGAATGCGGTGTTGAAGGCCACCTACGAAGGAACTGCAGAAATCCCCAGAGCACGGAAAATAAGGCATACGATTTAAACAGACAATTAAATGCCACGGCAAGGAAAAGGGACTGACAAGAAACCAAAGTGCTGGAACTGTGGAGCTGAAGGCCACGTACGAAAGAATTGCAGAAACACCCCAGGGTACGAAAATTGAGACAATTTCTGAGCAACGACGCAGGAAACAAATTAAGACCATATCAAGGTACGGAGGTTGCCAGATAATGAAAAACCCTGTTTTAAAGCGCTTAAGATCTCTATAGTGAGTGGCAACAAAACGGACTGTCCATCAATGGGAATATCGATGGAGTTCCTTGCAATATGATCATTGACACAGGAGCTAATGTTACCATCATTAGGAAAGATTTAGCTGAACAGTTTAAAGATAAACTTATTTGGACGCCATCCTGTGTTACCCTTGAGACTGCGTCTGGTGACAAGATCGACATAACTGGGAAGTTAAACGTAAACATCACGTTTGGAAGTGCCGCCTTACCATCACACGACATATGTGGCGGATATTACAGATCCATGCAACTCGGATTGGACTTTTTAAGGAAATACAATTTTTCCTTAGATTTCAAAAACAATAAGCTGCTTTCAGCATCTGATGGCATAACTATCCATCCTCAAAAGGGATCCTCGCTGGAATGTCGACGCCTTGTCCGAAAGATCGAGAGCGGGGAAGCTGCGAAATCATACCAGGGTCGAAAAGAAACTCAAGACTACCAGCTATTCTCCATCCCAGAAGCTCTTCGGTCGAGACCTTCGTCTGCCTTGTGACCGCCTGTTTAGTCGCCCTACGGATGCGCCTTCATCGCCTGAGGAACACATCCAAGATGCCAAGGCCCGGTTTGAGGGGATGCACCGTTCTGCACGAAAGCGAGTCAACTTGGCGACGGAGAAAATGAAGATCAGATGCGACACAAGAACTACTAGACAGAGATCCAACAAAGGAGACAAGGTGTGGTTGTGGAAATCCGAATTCGATGAAAAGGACTCAGGCCTAAATTGCAGTCACCGTTGGGATGGTCACCATACAGTCCTGAAACAGGCTGAATGACGTCGTGGTTCGGATCCGTGGGTCTTCGAACTCTTACGACAGGTTAGCTTATTACTATGGCCATAGTACGTAATGTAAATATTGTAATAGTATCAGACCATGGTCCTTTTTGTTTATAAATGTGTATTTAGTATTTGATTTGTATTTAGTATTTGTTTTGTATTTAGTATTTGATTTGTTTAAGTTAGTTATTGCATTTATTGTTTATATTGTTTGATATTGTAATGTAATGTTTATGCCTCAATTGCATTTATGCCACAGTTGTAAGTTTAGCTTCCTGTCCAGGGATTGTACTGCCCGGGACGTGCAGTCCTTGGGAAGGGGGCAGTGTTACGAATTTGGTATTTAAAAAGCTAATATTAGTTCAATTATAAATTAATTGGTTTTATTTCTCCGCAGTGCAGCGCGTGACGAATTTAAAAGAAGCTAGCCGGAAAATTGAAAATACAAGAGCGCGTGCATTAAATAAATAAATATCTCTTTTTGATTTCGAGAAAGTACTGGAAAATTCTAGCGCGTGATTTTAAAATCTTATAAAAGGAGGAAAACATCTCAGTTTGTAGTAGTTGCTTAGTTTGTTGTTGTTTAGAAAACTACTGTTGTTGATTGTAGCGAATTCGCGGATTAGCGTTTTAGCTGTTTTGAATTACGTTCTATTGGACATTTGAGTAGTTAAAGAAAAAACTACTGTGAGATATTGTAATACTGCATGATAATTTGAGAAAATTTAAGCATTTTTTTTTGTTGTGATAATAATAAATTTTTGTTCATTTTTCATCGGACTTGTGCATTCATTTCATAACGAACCCGTACGCACGCAACAAATTTATTGTTAAAATAACCTTTGTAAGGTATATTTTAATTTTATTACAGTTATTTTAATTTAGTTCACCTTACCTATCTCTCCTGGCTTCAGCTTTCAACTCCCTACCAGAATGTGTTTTTAGAATCGCGTTCAATGCACATGAGAAGGAGAGTGGTATTTAAGTCAAGTTCAATTCAATTAAATACTATTCAGTGTTATACAGAGAGAGTGCGGATTCCCGAGTAGCAAGCGTTTGCCTTTGGACTACGTATCTCTAAGCTGTTACTACGCTCTCTCTACGGCTCTGCCGTATTACGGGCCTTTTGATATTTCACTGGATAATTCTATTACCGGCCGACTTGTTTAGAACTGTGTTAGCTTCAGCTAAATTGCTTTAGTTAGTCATTAGTTAGTTCTTATTTCTTACATTTTTGAGATTAATCTCAGGTGGAGGCTTTATTGTACGCCCTGAGAAAGAAGCCGACTGCTAATCTTATTTTAAGTGAAATAAAGGGTAACTAACCATTCTTGAATTTACGTTTCTATTCTTGGACTTAAACGATTATCCGCTTAGAAGTTCATAAGTTTCCTCTACACTTCGTTTAACGGAATTAAAATGAGGAACTCTATAACTTGAATGGATCGAGACAAAATTTCTGTTTTTTTCTTCAGTATGCATCTTCAATTTGAAGAAAATTTTATGCATAGCAATTTTCGCTTTAAGATTAGATAGCATGCCTTAAGCCGTAGACTACCACATACACTTTGAAATGTCCACTCATTTTATACAAAAATTTCGAAGCAAATTTTCAGATGCAAGCATGATATGGACGATTCAGTCACTAAGATTATTAGTTTACAGTTTTCTCCTTCTGGAAGCCCATGATGATGCTTCAAAAGAAAAAAACATATGTATTAAAAAGACATCATAAAGCATCTCAAACTTCTTTAATTAAAAGCATCTATAATTAAATAAAGAATTCGTAAAAAACCGCATTAAATAAAAATTTCGCAAAATCATAAGAGAATAAACAAATAAATACGATTCCTAAAGCTGTTCCACTTCATTCATGTAATAGCTGCAGATTCAGCAGCAAAATTCCTTCTATTTGGTTCTTTAGCTATTAAAACGCCAGCATAACAAATAAAAGTCCACTGGACAACGACTATGAATATTTCGACCTAGGGGCGTATGGAGCATCTGGGAAACTTCTCGAATCGCCGGGAAGCTCAGTCCGTTTCAGTAGTTCTCGATACTTTTTGCCCCACGCACCCCTTTCACTATTTTTAGACGGTCATTGCCTTCTCCCTTGTTACGGAATATTCTTTGATATCGGCAAGAAGATGGCGTTAGAAGTCCATCTATTGGCTTACTTAACCCTTCCCCTTGTGAACATGTCTCTTGGAAAAATATTCTTCTTCTTGAAGGTAGATTTCGATGCACTACGCAATAGAATTCGATTTATATTCTTAGATGGAACTATTCAGTTTTTGCTTCTGGAGCCTTAAATATTCGATTCAGGCATTTTAGCCTACATTGTATATATGTAAATGTTAAGTTTAATTAAAATTTATGGAAAACCCTCCAGGCCATGCATCTCATTTTGGATTATGAGTAATTTGACATTTGATATAGAATACTTTCGTTACACTCTTCGTTACGAAATTCAAAACATACATACACATTTATTTAATTTCGAGTATCTTTAATACGTTTTACAACAAATTAAACAAGAAAAGGTAAAGAAAATGGTGATAAACACCAAAACTTTATAAGGTATTTTCTCCTTCCTTTCAGCATGCCTTCGTGGTGTAAGGGTAGCACAATCGGCGCGTGCTACCCTAGATCTAGGTTCGACTTTTAACAAGAGCATTGTTCAAAGCTTTTGTTAAAAGATTAGTTATGATTACCTAGTGAAGATTTTATTCAGCCGTTCTGCTGACATGGTAATAAGAGAATGGCTGTCTCAACCATGGACTCGAGCTCGAGTCGCGGAAAAGACGGGGATGTGCATTGTGTCTGTGGTATGGGGCCCTTAAAATACTGTCGCATCTTAAAATACCTCAAGCCGAAAATCTCCTCGAGCCGAAAATTCTCTCGAGAGACTCGTGGTAAAAGAAGAGGATTAGAAGATTATAAGATCTGCCTCCCCCTAGAAGTTCTTTGTGAAAACTGGACTAGAGCTGGTCAAACTAGTATTGCCATCTGTAAAGTGCCCAAGCTTAGTCCAACGGCAAGGTGCAAACTTTTAATCACGATAAAAGTCGTAGAGTTGACCTGGCCAAGATTAAAATCTGAAGGATTAGTAAAGCCTGATACTCCATAAAGAGAAATTTTAACGCTTTCTTAAGTTTGACCGATGTATGGTTTCGAGTAGGGTTTGACTGATATATGTCAAACCATACGAGTTGAGACGTCGATGAGAGATATTATAACTTTCCAAAAACTAAAAATTAGATACAGAGTTAAATTCTATGTTTTATCATTGGCAAGAATAAAACCAGAAAATAGAATTTGTTTCGAATCCAATCAATTTCAAAACTGACAGAAAAAAAAAAGAAACAGGATTACTATTACTTGTTATATCTAATGAAAAAAACCTTTTCTAATCGTAATTTTAAGAATATCAACAATAACAATGCACGATAAGTCTGTATTAACGAAAACAGATTACCTCCCAGAACGTTCCAAATTATCTTAGAATGGGAGGGGCAAAAATATTTTTTTAATATTTAGTCTCTTTATAGTATATAGGATCTTCCAATAACTATTTTGAAAAATGAAGTGTAATTCAGAGAAATTTTAGTATGTGAACTTAGTTCTTCAAATTTAATAATGAAGAACTATGTAAGTAACTATTAAGTAAACAGTAAGGAAAATATTTAAGTAAAAGGGAAATCGCGAAGTCCCTGAGCATCTGATAAAAGTTGTTTACCATCGAAAGAAACTTGTTTAACTTTTTTAGGGCATTCTAGGTGTGCACTGTAAAAACTTGATTACTTGCTGTGTATAAACTTGATTAGTGCAATGTTTTGGTTTTCCTTTAGCTGTTCATTTCAAGTTTTATTTTAATTGAATACTAAAGAAGTGGCTGTGTTACAGATGTTATTCTTATATTGGTCTGATCAATCGCGGAGAACAACTAGTGTCTCTTGGACAGGGATGCCACTATAAGGGAATCGTTGTACATGAGCTGGGGCATGCCATTGGTTTCTTCCATGAGCATAGCAGATCTGACAGAGATAAATATGTTACAATCTATTGGCAGAACATCAAAAATGGTAAGTAATCAAAGATGACAATGCTTTATCTTATTTGAACTCTAGTGAGAGCTGACGAAAGTAAAAGAGAAAGTAAACCCAAAATAATAAGATATCTAAGTTGATTCACATAACACGCTACAAAGTCTGGCCGCCTTCGTAACTGCATGTGTTGCTGAGCCCTTAAGCCAGCCTAGTAAAGCCAAGTATTCAGTAGTAAAAGAGTGTGCCTGTTTTTGTGTGCATCTCACAACGCAAATATAGAAAATCCGAAAGCTATACAATTTGTCCCACAGATTCTTCAGGGCTATTTTTTTTCCACAAAATTTGATGTAGATTTTTTTAATGTTGAATGATTTTTTTGGTGTGTATCCGCGTGTGAATTGTTTTTAAGTATCTTCGTTTAACTGTCTAACTAACATTTCAAAATTTTATTCTTTGAACTACTACGTAACTCAAAAAATAACCTTCCAAATAAAACTGATTACAGATCTGTACTCTAATTTATGTAAGTTCTGTAAGCATTTCTTACGATTTTTCCAAAATAGATTGATTTATTTTGGTACCTTTTCGATTGCTATATACCCAACATTTTAAATTTCAGAGTCAGAAATTCTGTAGTTTATAATATCTTGAAAAGTTTACAGATTATACAGCCTGCCCTTTGCTTTCTTTTTTAAATAGCAGGTTTTGGTGTGTTAAAGCAATTCAGGTCATTGTTACTGTAGTTACGTTGCATATGCAACATATTGTAGTAAAGAATGCATAATGGTTCTAAGCTTTAAAACCGTATTATTATCTTACAGTAGTTTTATATATATATATATAGATATAAAAAAAAAAAAAGAAGAAGAAGAAGAAGAAAAAGTCGATGAGGACACTACATAACTTTTGAGTAACTCTTGAATAAGCGATTTATCAAGGCAAGTTGGAGAGGCCAACAAAATTTGCAAGTTTTAAAATTGAATATCCTTGTCAATTTTTGTTGTAAGGGAGTCAAACTTCTTATAAATTTATTTTTTCATAACGGGCGCAAAATTTTCCGAATGTTTACGTTCCTGTGTTAGAATGGCGCCGACATGTATGACGCAGTTTCGATTTTATATATCCTTAATAAATTCAACGACGCTTAGTCTATTTAAATCAAACTCAATACATTTAATAATATAACATTCACACGTAAACATTTAGTAATAATTCAGGAGTACAGATAAGCATTAAAATAAGAATTACAACCGTTACAGGCCAGCTACGCTTTTAGCGATCGAATTCTACGAACGACAAATCTCAAAAGCGTGTTGCCAACGCAGGGCAACGAAAAGGTGGAAATTAATTCGATAGGCGTGGAAGTGAACACCGAAATATAAATAAAGGAACCAAGGCATTAAGTTAGATTTCGTTATTTGTTGAAAATTAATTTTTGTCTAAATTTTATTTTGCCCAGCATGAATAATTTCGTCATTTAAAACATTTCTATAATTAGAAGTGCATAGCTACGAAAATTGCGAAATTTAACGCCGTATAAGCGGGGGTGAATATATGTCTATATTCTGCAGTTTGATAATGCCGATTGAAACAAAATAGGGAAGTGCACAACTAGATGTTATAGCAGTCCTGTATATAAAATTTCAACGTTCTACAGTTAATCGTTTTGTGTTATGCGAGATACATGCGTATATGCGTACGTACAGACGTCACGAAAAAATTGCTTTTGAATCTGTTTTCTTTTAAACCTATTTTTAAATCTATTTTATAATCCGTTTTGTCCTTTATTCTGTGCATACCTACAGATGTTACGCAAGACGAAACGACAATATAGATTCGGGAAGTGTCAAAATGGATATTTCTTTTGAAATTATGATACCCTAGTTTTTTTCACGATTACAATACTTCCTTTTCTTCGTACAGACGTAAAAAAAGTGACTAAATAAATTACTTCAACGAGCTCCCGTATAAATGAGAAATCATTCCTTTTTAGCCGAAATTTAAATGGCCGTTGATTGACTCTCCGGGTTTCATTTCTTTTAATTTCAGCGGAATTTAAATGTTGAGTTAACAAAATTCAAGATAGTAGTAGAAAGAAAATTTAATAGCATGGATTGCAACTCAAAATGCTGCATTACTATTTACCATTTCTTGCATTCAGATGTATTACACTAATTGGAATGAAAAATACTTCATTTACTACCATTTTGAAAAGAGATTATCATTTTAACTGTTCACTGTATTTAACACATAGGATACAAATTAACGAATATGCATTATGAAAATCTTTTATCTAAGTCTATTGTAATAATTTCACTACGATTTATTCCAGGAATGGAACCACAATTCACTATTCTACGACCCAACCAAAATCTCCTTCTGACACCTTTTGATTATGACTCCATTATGTTATACGGAAACTATGCTTTCTCCAAAGATAACAAATCTATGACCATCGCTGCAAAGGACGGCAGGCCACTTAAGGAGCCTTATCAAAAACCTGGCCTTACCAGCAGTGACATCAAACGTGTCAATCTGATGTATAAATGTTGAAATGCAATTTGTTTGTAAGGTAAATGGGATTGTAGAAGACTTTGTCTTGAAACCAGTTTTAATCTCTGTATTGAGGAAATGAAATAAATTTATTAACAGCAACATTTATTTCTCTTTAATAGTGCACAAATCATAATTTGTGTCACATATTTCATTATATCTAATTATCCATCTATCTCGCTCTATATATAAGCATACACATATCCATACTATCAACTTCGAGTTTCCGCGGTAACATCGGTGATGACATCCGTGGTTAATTTAAATCATGGTAAATCTGAGGGCAGTTGACAAAACACAGAAAAATATTACACATATTAAAATTAACAGACAAATAGTGATAATAATTTGCTAATATTTTAAGCAATTTAATTTTGTGAGCCATTTGATTGCGTAAATTACGTCAATGTAAAAAACATTCTGTAGATAACAGAAGAATAAGCATCATTAGAAGAACACAAGTTATAAATGTTATTAAAAGCAATGTTTACAAAAGAACATGAACAATGCCCCAGAATTCAGATTCACACGAAAATGTCAGAACTTTTCATGTTTTGGTAGAATTCATCTTGCAGACATCGTATTGCTTTCACACCTATTATTTAGAACATTTTCCTTTTCGTTTTCGTACTTTCCGTAAACAATTCTGTTTTACACTGATGGCTTGTGACAATACACTTTGCATAGCGCCATAATGAAAAACCATAACGTTTTTAAACATAAAGCCTTATTAATCTGGTCCCAGTGAATCAGAAATTGATTCCATGAATAATAATTTTTTTCAGATAGAAAAGTCAAATTTCTTTAGTAAAAAATAAATAACAATCTCTCTTAATTCACAAAGGCAGTAAATTTTTTATATCAACAATTCTGTTTGGAAAAATACATTTAAATATTTTACCAGATTGTTGCTTGCACAACTTACAATAACAATCTCTTCTAATTATCCTTCTTACTCATATATTCAGTCTTCTATATGAGAATGGTGAAAATAAATTGCGCTTAGTATCTAATAACTGAAACTGGCTCAGAACGGATAAACTTTGTGATTATTTTAATGACTGAATCATACTTAAGTGTATACATTCAGTTTAAAGAAAGCTCTTTTATTTAAATCGTTCTTTTTATGGCAATGTGAATTGCCATTAAAAATATTTCTTTGCCTCTAAAAATTGCCATTAAAAAATTTCATACAAACAACTAACTACATTTTATTCTTTATTTGCTTCTTGGGCACCTGGGGTAACATTGACTGTCTGATCACTTTATAAAGATCATTAGGCACGTCTAGCATAGAAACATAAAGAGTAAACGGTGGCCTCTTTCAGGATAAGAATCATTTTTTTCAATTACTACTTGGAACTGCTAATAAATGACGCCACCAGAACTCGTGGGAAGTGGGGTAATTCTTTACATTTTCTCCCATTTAAAAGGAGACCGGCAGGTGACGTGGGACACAGCCCACAAAAATTCACCTGGTAACTGTCATTACATTTTAATTACAGCTTCGCTGTAAAACCAAATAGGCATTTAAGACAACTATACGTGAAAACTCAACTATGCACTCGCCGGCATTTGAACCACGGATCTTTCAATTCTAGTTGGACATGCTAATCCTTAAACCCCAAAAGCATGCACAAAGCTATCCAATAATTCTTAATAAGTTCATGTTTAAAGTCAACTCTACTCCTATTGATAACTGGGGTGATATATGTATAATCGTTTCACTTCAGTTTTCGGAATTTACTTTTGGTAGAATACACTTAGAAAATTATTTAACATTTCATCTGATATTTCTACCAGTTTGCTAAAATTTTCGAAATGTATGCTTTATGCATCGCACACTTTAAAATAATTTTTTTTGTGTCTTTGTTTCTATATAATTTGAAAATGACAGATTTTGAAACTTCTAATTTATAGTCTTTAAATAAAGAATTAAATAAAGAAACATAAGTCTTTAAATAAAGAATTATGTTTTACAAAAGAAGCAGTAATTTATGGCAAATACAAAGGCTCGATTAAATTTAGCTTTGAAGAATTTCTTTTTTTCTCACTAACGATTAATATTCCTCTTCAATCGTATTCTCTCAACCAAATACCAAAAACAGAATTTGTTAATCAAAATTTTTATTACACGAATTTTTTATTTACTACATTTACACAAATGTAGTAAATAAAAAATGTTTTGAAACAAAGATCGGATTATACGAGTAGGTCTAAGGTTTAAATACCTTAGACCTTAATATTTTTAATACCTTAATAATAAGTTTAAATACCTTAATATTTTTAAATAAAGATCGGATTATACGAGATGTCTAAGGTTTAAAAATGATAACCCCTTTCCTCTTACAGGTATCTTTTATATTGCAGAATAGAACGTTTAAGCTTCCTTTTCCATATTTTCCGTCATAACATTTCGTATTTTCAGATACATTCCTTTTATCATTATTAGTCTCATCATCTTTATAAGTATTACCTGCATCATATTCAGTGCCGAAACTTGGTTGGCCTAACGTCAGCAATCATTTTGGAAACAGAACCAGACAACGGACAATATGTTTTGTAATCTGCCATTGTACCATCTACTAGTCCTATTCAAATCTAATTTCAATTGTTTTGGCGTTCTTCTCTAAAAGAGTGTTATAAATGAAAAGATTTCGGAAGCAGACAAGTAATGCTTATCAAAAACAGGATATGTGAGCGTACGAAATCCTTTCTAGTTCCGCCTGTGCTGTAAAAGTTTTCACTCATATTTAAAATAATAGAAAACATGAAGTTTTCGAGTCAGAATCAAATTCTCTTCTTTTTTCACCTCCCTTTTCCTTTATTTTTATTTATTTATTTTTGGAATGGGGGAATTACCAACAATTTCTACGACAAAAATTAAGAAAGAAACGTCACAAAACGGCAATCGGTGAAAGATTTGAAAGAAATAAAAGATTTTATCTGGGCTGATCAAAGAATTTGTCAAAAATCAAATAAGAAGTCCTCTTTTCACTGCTAATGCTTGTTTGTGAAAGAAATATAATATAAATGTCCAAAATCGTTACCAAGCATTTTCTCTGAAGTTTCATTACCTAAATCTTTAAATTTATTAAGAACAAAAACAGGAAGTACAGTTCAGAGGAAGAAAACATCCAAAAGTTCCCATTTCTTGTTACGCTTTATATTTTAACATGATTCAAACCAAAATTATTTTTCTTATAAATGAAAAGGAATTATATTTTAATTTTTCCTAATGGGATCGATCTTTATTACCAACAATAATTAACAAATGATTCCCTTTCTTCGTTCACCTAACGTTTCAAGTTAAGAGTATGTGAAGCTTTGTCATCAGATTTTCCTGATTTAACATGCGAATTTTTCAGTAGAATACTTTTCCTGTTTTGCCACCTAGCTAGATTATCAGAACTAAATCAATTAAAATATATTTTATTGAATTAGACACCGATAAAGCAGACATTTTAATTCACTAATTTTAATTCCCTTTAGCTTCTTAAGAACTTGTTCAGATTGACTTAAGTTTTAGTCTGATTTTAGTTCCAGTCTGCTATAGTTTTTAGTCTGACTTTAGTTTTGTCTAATATACCTAGTTATCACATACTCGTATAATCCGATCTTTTTCTAAAATAAAATATGATATTTTTCAATGAAAGATACTGTAGAGTTTTATCATTTTTACTAACAATTATTTTAATTTCTTAGCCTTTTCTGTCTTCTCTTATTCCTCTCGCGTTTCCTCGCCACTACGTAAATCAGTTAGAGTTAACGAAGAATGCATTTAAACTGAAGTAGCGAAAGGCTTAGTTAGAGCGGAGCTTCGTTTTTGTGAACGCACTTTGTTAATTTTCTCAGTTGTTAACTTTAAATATCGGCTTCGGATTCTTGCCGCCGATATTATTATCCTGCTGGTATAGGTTTCTGAGTCAACCTGTTAGGTTAAATCGAATTGTGTACTCTTGCGCATCATATTTTATATAAATTCAACTGAAAGATTCAAAATGCTTACTAGAAACTTAGATCAAAAGATCTCGTACGAATTGCAGATTGAAGATTTATATTCGTATAAAACAATCTTCTTCCTTTTTTTCTTTTTTTTTTTTTCAATTGCTGCATCTCAAGAGTGCTCTACTTTAGTTCTATAGATACAGAAAGTGCAGGATTTCTAAGGATGCATTGCTTTGATCGGAGGAAAAGCCTTTTTTCAACACTGTCTTTTAAAATGTGCGGAAGAAAATCATACACGAATATACATCATTACATAGATCTGAATTTCTAAGATTACTTCTAATACTTTTTCTTCTGTTCTTAGAATATAAGAATCAGAATTATTATATATCTTAGAATTTTTTATTACAATATATGTATCAATTAAATACACATATTGGCGGGCTTGTCGGCATGCCGAAGATAATCTGTCCCACATAAATCTAATTTTAAAATTGTTTCCAGTTTGCATCCATAAACACGACTTTATATACATGAATATTTGCAGAAATTAATAAATATGGATTAACTATTATAATTCGGAAGTTTTCAACACGCTACCAAAGTTCTCCAGACAGTTCCAATCTTTCACTGACTGCCTGTTTCCCTTGCGGGCTTCGCTGCGATAAGGAGGTAGCTAATTTGCTTGTAAGGATTAAGTTTTACTAACGTTTATTTTATTTTAAAAATTTACTGTCCTCTCTTATTTTCCACTTCCGGCCAGAATAAACATGTTAGTTTTATTTATGCAGAATAAACTCTTAAGTATTTAAGTTGTAGCTTTTCGCCAAGAAGAGTTAGAGAAAGAGAAAGTGAGACTTGTCGCCACTTTACTTAACGAGCGCTTTCAGTCAGTTGTTTTCAGCATTAAGGCCAGAAATTTAGTCTTCTTGTTATTAAAGACGTATTGTAGATTTTCCGCATTTTGCGTGCTACATACATAAAAATCTAAAAGGCCAATCTTAGTGTTACTAATCTGTGTAAAATATTTTAGCTCTTACTTAAATTTGGTTAGTTTATAGTTCTTATTTTCTTACACTAAGACCACAAGTGCTGGTCTTTGTATCCGGAAGTACGGGAGCACCTGAAAATTGTGGAGAATAAAAGGTAAATTAAC